TCGAATCGCAATATCTGTCAGAAAAATCGCAATTCGATTATTTCCCCAAATCGTGCAGCCCTAGTATGGACTAAGGCTCATGGTAAAGTACACTTACAAAAAAAATTCAAAAAAAGTCGTCTTAATGTAGCACCTTGGACGCGTCACTACAACACTGTCAGATTTACTGTGAACACGTATGTTTATCTACTGTTTACAACTGTGCTGAGCAGTTACCATTTACCATGTGTACATGTGTCATTTAATTCTACGCACAGTAGGATGATATGTTGTCTGTTTCCACTGGGGATATTAAATGGTGGTGTCATTAAACCTGGGAATTTCTGAGAACAAGATAAAACACGAGCACACAACTTTTGAACCCATTTAACACAAGTAACGTATAAATAATATCTGGTAATATATGGTATATCATAGTCAGCTGGATATTTACATTTTCTTTCACCAACATCCAGGCAGCCACAGATTATTTCATAAATAAATGAACACGATATAATGTATTTGATGTTGTATAAATTGGCACATTTCTATGTGTTATTGCATTGATGTCTTTCAAATCAGTCCACACTTTACCTGAATGCAGGGCGAATAGTGAAACAATTATTTTATCGTAAGCAAAGACACAAAACATCTGAAAAGTATTTAAGACATAAAACTCTTTGTTTTGTTGCAACATCACTTCTTAAAAAATGAAGAAATAGCAATATGTCTTTGCATGTGTGCATAGGGAAGTAGGGGTGCTGGAGCACCCCCTAGAATCTGGAGAATCAGATTGACCAGTCGACAAGGGCCGTTTGCGGCCGGCTCGGTTCGCTCACGGCCGGCACCGACTTAACGTGTTTTTAAACGGCATCATTGAAGTTGCGCCGACAGGCGACAGAGGTCCACCGTGTCCCTGCAGCGAGGCCCGTCCCTCCTTACACGCAGATCACGCAGACTGCGTGGGGCCTCACCTCGCGGAGGGGGCCTCAACTAAGCCGTAAATGCAGTTTCGCTGTTGACAATTCACGAGCACCCCCCACCGTTGACAATTCGCCGCACCCTATAAGTAAAATGACTTCCTGCGGCTATGTAGGTGTGAATAAAATAACACTAGCATTACTCAGGGATCATCCCAGGCCCGCAGCCTGTGGTAGACTGCTGGTGTGTCCTCAGGTTGCAGATCCAGGCGAACCTCTTCCCACACTGCTGGCAGCTGAAGGGTTTCTCCCCAGTGTGAACTCTCTGGTGCTTCTTCAGGTTCCCGGCCTCGGAGAAGAGTTTCCCGCAGGTGTCGCAGCGGTACGGTTTCTCCCCTGTGTGGACTCTCTCGTGGGCCTCCAGATTGGATAGGCCGGTGAACGACTTCCCACAGGCTCTGCATACGTAGCCCTTCTTGCGGTGCTCACTGGGCACCATACCAGGAGCCTGACTTATATCGTGGTGGGCCAGGAGGCTGAATCCATGCTCTGCAGCGTCGGGGACCTCGTTTCTGCCCAACAACGTCCTGATGTATGGAGCCACTGTGGAGCTCATAGTCCTACTGGTGGAGCTGATACAGGAGATCTTTGTGTTCTCCCCACAGTGAGTGTTACTGACAGCAGCTGAGGTCTGTGCAGAGGGCAGGCTGTGCTGCTGCTGAGGGGCCCTGCTGCTGTCACCATGCTGCTGCAGCTCACACTGGGTTCTTCTTATCAGGAACGCTTTCCTGCTCCACGGAGGCTGAGACAACGGAGCCTTCATCCTAAGGGGTGTGGATGAAGAAGTCTCTGCTGACGGGCCTGGGAGCAGAAACAACAAGGAGTCGGACAAATTCATTTAATATTTTCATCTAAATTACTGAAACATGACAAAAGATGTCTCTGTGCACAGGATCTACTTCCTCAGTGAAGAATATGGTTATGTAGACCCTCCAGAAAAACGCGATTCTGCGATCGCAGAATTTACCGCATAATCAGCAAAATGGCGCAGATTTTTTAAAGGCCGCATATTTATCAAAAGGCTGCATAATCCCCGCATTTTTCCACAAAAAGTTGAGGGAAAAAAAAGTTAACTCGTCTGGACGTGACGTCATCAGCTCAAGCATCACAGAATGTAAACAACACTGTATAGAGTGAACGTGTGGAGCTCACACGATAGAGAAAACACCAAGATGAAAAAATCTAATCCATCTCATTTACCGACGAACATTTCTACTAAAGACCGGGCAAAAAGTGGGGGGAAACTATTCTGCACCCCGTGCAACTGTGTGTTGGAGCATAAGAGAAAATCGACGGTGACGACCCACTTCGATTCATTCAAACATTCGAAAATGCTTTCTGCTGCTGCGGACAAGAAAGCCAAACAACTCACGTTCATCAACCTCCAAAACCCTTTCGAGGGCTACAAGAAACTAAGTGAGTAGCCTAAAAGATTGAAGCTGGTCAGATAACGAAGGAGTAAATTAAAACAGAATGAGGCGGAGAAGTGTGTGTGTGTGTGGGTGTGTGTGTGTGTGTGTGTGTGTGTGTGTGTGTGTGTGTGTGTGTGTGTG